CGTTTTGCGTTTTGAAGTAGGGAGTGTGTTCCATCGTGAGGCCCGTTTGCTGTATGAAGTAGGGAGTGTGTTCCATCGTGAGGCCGGTTTGCTGTATTGAAGTCGGGAGTGTGTTCCATCGTGAGGCCGGTTTGCTGTATTGAAGTAGGGAGTGTGTTCCATCGTGAGGCCGGTTTGCTGTATTGAAGTCGGGAGTGTGTTCCATCGTGAGGCCGGTTTGCTGTGTGGAGTAGGGAGTGTGTTCCATCGTGAGGCCGGTTTGCTGTATTGAAGTCGGGAGTGTGTTCCATCGTGAGGCCGGTTTGCTGTATTGAAGTCGGGAGTGTGTTCCATTCGTGAGGCCGGTTTGCTGTGTGAAGTAGGGAGTGTGTTCCATCGTGAGGCCGGTTTGCTGTATTGAAGTCGGGAGTGTGTTCCATCGTGAGGCCGGTTTGCTGTATGAAGTAGGGGGTGTGTTCCATCGTGAGGCCGGTTTGCTGTATGAAGTAGGGAGTGTGTTCCATCGTGAGGCCGGTTTGCTGTATGGAAGTCGGGAGTGTGTTTCAGGTGAAGAGAAAGGGCTGAGCAGGTATGAGGTTGGAAGGTGGGAGAGCTCAGTAGGAAGCTAGGATGAGCCCTCCCAGCCCGGCCCGGAGGTGGGGGAGGAGAGACTACATGGAGTTTAAACATTCTGAGCCAAGGTGCTTTGATTTTTATCCTATAAGTACTGTTAAACTATGAGGCATTTAGTCACATGGATTTGTACCCGCCAGTTCGAAGTCCTAGGCCTAGAATCGGAGTGGGAGTATGTGCCTGAAAGGTCCTGGTCCTCAACTCCTTACTGCTCTCCTTGGCTCCATGAAATGGGGAAGCCAGAGGCTTCGTAGGACGGGGTAGAACACTGCACGTGTAACTGCTCCCTGCAGCAGGCCTTGAGCAAGGGTTGAGTATTACTCCGTCACTTGGAAATGACGTTCAAGATTTATTTGACAGGACGTTTATTGGTGTAGCCATGGGTAGATGGTTACATCACTTGAGGCCTGGAGGAATAAGTTCCTGAACCACGGTAAAGGGACTGCTGCTGAGAAAACGCCAGTGCGAGACGTATTTCAAAGGGAGAAGAGATCGAGCCTGGGCCAGCAGGTGGTGTGGTGGTTACGACTGGATCCCACGTGGCTGACTCCACAGTTCTGGACCTGGACTTGGTGGCCCAAGATTCCAAGAGAATGGAGGAGAAGGGATTGGGACGTGGCCATCCACCCGAGGTTGATTCCTCATTTTCCCTCACTGTCCCTCTGCTGTGACCATACCCACCCTACGATGAGTAGGGTGGACTTTTTTTTTTTCTAGAAAATAGAAAAACCATTCAAGTGAATGTGTAGAAGTTAATGAGGAAGTCAAAAGGGAATAGAAGTATTTCAAGAACCATTTTTGTTAAAGGTTTGGTGATGGGTTCTGTAGAAAAATCACGGTAGTCTGGTTTTAAGAAGTTAAAAACTCAGTTACAGAAGCATGATTAAAATAGACAAATCCTTGGGGGCCAGCAGTTGGCATGGTAGTTAAGGTGCAGGACTCCCACATGCCTGACTGCAGTTCAAGTCCCAGACCCAGCAGCTTGAAAATCACTCCGGGTGCGTGTGTATGTGTGCCCCAAACCCTGAGGATGCAGGAGGAGAAGGGATTGTGGTGTGGCCCACCCTCAGGGGTGACTTCTCATTTTCCCTTTCACTGTCTCTCTAGTGAGCACAATCCTAGAAATCCTCTGGCAAAATCCTAGAAGATTAAAAATAAAAGCAGTTTCCAGACGGCGCGTGTGCTCACCAGGGAGAGAGCAGAGTGAGCACCTTGTCATGGCATGGCCTGCCCAGCCTTCTCCATCTCCCTCAGTGAGGCCTGGCGTGGGCGCCACGAGCCTGCGTAGTTTTTGCAAAAATGTTCGGAGAAAAGAATCTAATATTAGTGAACATGTGATTGAAATAGTTACTTTTCTGTTTTTTTATTTTTAAATCAACTTTTTTTTTTTTTGCCAGAGGGCATGTATGCTCACTGGAGAGAGAAACAGAAAGAAAGCGTCCCCTGTGGGGGTCGCCACGCCGCAGTCCCCACTTGTCCTCAGGGTTTTGGGCACCAGTGCACGCATGCACAGTATGTTTCTCCAGCTGCTGGGTCCAGGGCGTGAGTTGGTGGCTGGATCCCACACGGCTGACTGCACAGTGTGAATTTTGAACCTGGTGGCTTGAAAAACATGCTGGGCAGGGACCAGCAGGTGATGTGGTTAAGGGCGCTGGACTCCCACATAGCCGACCATGGTTCGAGCCCCAGACCTGGCGGCTTGCATTCTCACTTTCTCTCTCTTGCTCTGTCCCTCTCTGGTCAAAAATGTAAAAATAAATAAGTAAAGTTAAATAAAATAATTCTTTGAAGGAAAGAAAAAAGAAAGAAAACCATTCTAGGCACTGTGTGCATGTGCACCCCAAGTCCCAGAGGGGAGGGGAAGGAAAAAGGGCCGTAGCATGACCTTGCCCTGTTGGGGTGCTTTCTCCTCTCCTCTGTGACTCTGTCCGTCTCTGTGGGGGTGTGTGTACCTGCTGGAAGATGAAAAACGATCTGTGATAACATTACAGCATGTGGGAGTTTGCTAAACATATTGTAAAGCCAGGCTTCCTGAAGTGGGACCAGCTGTTGGTGTAATGGCTATGTCGCTGGACTCCCATGTAGTTGACCGTGGTTCAAGTCCCAGACCCGGTGTCTTAAACTTAGGCCAGATGCATGTGTGTGCATGCCCAAGATCCTAAGAGGAGAATGGAGAAGGGATTGCTGCATGGCCATACCCCTGGGGGATGATTTCTCACTTTCTGTCTTTCTGTCTGTCTCTATCTTTCTAGGGAGTGCACGCACCTTATAGCAAAAACCTCTCTCAAAAAAAACTTCCTAAGGAATATCTTCCACTATCTTAACACATCCCTATAGGACCGCAAGGCTTCATGGAATTGCTAACGTTGTATCCAAGCTTAACATTTTTTTTTCCTTCCCAAATGAAATCATGGAATAATTATATTGAGATTAACCTTGTGCTTATCTTTTAATTATGATGTTGAAATCTTTGGATTCTTTGAGGGCCTTTTTAGTTTTCTGTAGACATTCATAGTGTACAACTATAAGATGACAACAGTTTAAAATACAATATGAGTATAACGCTGATGTCTTCAAGGGTATTTTGAGTTTGACGTGGCTATGCTACCAGTTTCTCGTCTCCTGTTTCTGCTCCGTCTGTTACAAAGCTGTTGTATGCTGAGATATTTTGACCCTAATTAATCGTTGTATATTAGATTTCTTCTTTTTCTCTCCCATAGGATGTGTCCACTGGAATGAGACAGAGAGAAAAAGTCAGAAAGCAGGGATGGCCACACTGTAATTCCTTGTCTCCATTCTCCTCTTGGGATTTTTGGCAAACATGTACGTGTGTGTAGCCACCGGGTCCAGGGCTGTAACTGCACCGTCAGTCATGTGGGATCCAGCTACCTTAATACCTACCACACCTCTGGCTGGCCCCTGAGTGTTCTCTGGTTTTAATAACCCACAACAGTTAAAGTAGTCCTAGTTACCAGTATGGTCTCTGAAATTATGTAGTGGTGTTTTATATATGTGGTTATCCAAGCAGTGAGACTTACTGTGTGTATTACATGTTTTTTTTTTTCTTTCTTTCTTTTTTGGAGAGCTTTTTTCTTTTTGGCTATAGGACGCGTGTGCTCACCAGAAAGACAGAGACAGAGAGACAGTGAGTGAGGAATCACCCCCCAGGGGGAATGGTCATGCCACAATCCCTTCTCCATTCTTCTCTCGGGATCTTGGGCATGCACACACATGCGCCCAGCGTGAGTTTAAGCCACCGGGTCCGGGACTCGAACCATGGTTGATTACATGGGAGTCCAGCGACATAGCCATTACGCCAACTGCTGGTTCCTGTATTACATATTTTTAGTTCAGCATTAAAAAGTAAGAAGTGTCTGTGTTTTGGGGAGGACTTGAACACCCTTAAAAATATATCTGCATTTTGTGAAACTCCTCGTAGGTCATGGCTCTCCCCCTTTCCTCCTCACCAATAGTATTATGGCGATGAGGCATAACACTGCTGGTGTTATAATACTTTGAAAGGGTGAACATATATTTTTTGGGTATGGATATATATATATATATTTTTACTCTTTACTATTTCACATTGCCCAGTTTTTGGGAGGGTGTGCTCAGTTTCTTTTAAACTGGGTATACTTTCCTTAATACTCAGATATACCGCTGCCTGGTCCTTGGTAAATTAATACACACATGGTAGAGCAGTGCAGCGGTCCGACGAGCGCATCCGTGTCCCCAGGCCTCCTGCAGTGCGCCCTCCAGCTCCTGTTGTGGATCTCCTCCTCGCAGGCTGTGCCCTCACTCCTGTTCTGTCACTTCCAGCATCTGTGGACTGATGTGACGCACTCGGCCCCCTTAATGCGGAGTGTCTGAGGTGTCCGCACGGGTCTCTGTCTCTGGTGACTTGGGGACCCAGGGCGGTGAGCACCCAAACTTGGCTGATTTACGTCTAGGCTAAGTGTAGTGTCTTGTTGAAGAGAAAACAAATGTGGAAGAACTGCAGACTGAAGTTGCGGTGACCTGCAGGTTCCAGCAATTTCATGTAAAATAGAGTTGATTGGGTGGGTCTCCTTCCGCGTCGATCCCTCGAGCTGTGCTGCGGGAGAAAGTAGCTTCCTTGACACTGTTCATACTCTTCAGTCACTGCCCATTTTTGCTGCCTCAAGGTGAAGATGTGGAAAAGGTTCTGGATGAATGGAAGGAGTATAAAATGGGAGTGCCGACTTACGGTGCGATTATTCTTGATGAGACGCTTGAAAATGTGAGTGTGGTCACGCGGCGGCGTGCTTGTGAGACGGGAACCACGCCCTGGAGCTCCGCCTGTTACAGAGGTGCTGCTTAGGTGGCGGTACGACCTGAGCTTTGGGAATATCCCCAGGTTCTGGGACTGGAAGGCCAAATTCTGTACACATCGTCTGTGCTCTTGGTCTTAGGGCTTGTGCTCGTTGCAGCGACGGTTAGTGTGAGGAAGGCCGTGTCTCCCGTGGCTTTCCTCACCCTCGCAGCGCTGCGGCAGATTCACGGGGGTAACTTCTGTTAAAATTGGTGGTCTGGTTACCTGGATCCAGGAGCAAACGTTCTGACTTTAGGAGGAGCGTGGGGGAAGAGGGCACGTTTGAGTTCTACCTCTCTTGTTTTGTAGGTACTGCTGGTTCAGGGGTACCTAGCAAAATCAGGCTGGGGATTTCCAAAAGGAAAAGTGAACAAAGAAGAAGCCCCCCACGATTGCGCTGCTAGAGAGGTAGGTTATTACAATGGAGGCACGGGACTGGGGCTGCAGGCCCCACGGGGTCCACTTCCTACCTGCTTCCCCTGGCCCCTGGGCTCCTGACGGGCGATGCTTTACTCACAGCTGTCACCTACCCCTCTCACCTAGTTCCGTTTCCTCTGGTCATTTTAACTTCTGCTGCTTTGAGTGTCTTTCCACCTTTCCATTTAGAATCGGATTTGCAGTTGCTCAAACACTGGCTGTTACGCTCTTGTCTGTGTGGGGTCTCGGCTTCCAGGAGACGCATGTTGGGCTTTTCTAAGAAACTCACATTTGTTGCTTGAACCCCACTCTTGTTTTCCCTCTGGCTTTAGGAGGATGACGTTTAATGCTTTAAGTACTTCAGCTCTTCGTTGGAGTCCCCCTACAAAAATCTTAATCATTTCTACCTTTATCTTGTTCTCAGTCAGAAGACTTTATTCTCTTTCGCCTGAACTTGACTGATTTGTTTCAGCCTCTGATATTTTGCTTGTGTTATTTCCCTACCTGGAACATTCTCTTTTCTTCCTGCCTGTTCATAGCCTACCTGGGCACATTTCCAAACCTAACGCAGATGTGCTTACCCCCAAGGACTGCTACCAGCCAGCTCTTTATATAGGGCCCGAGTTTCTTACCTGCAAAGTGAAGGTTAGAATGAGTGTTGTTTTTTAGTTTACCATAGGCTTACACAGTCACTGGAGAGAGACTGACAGAGAGGGAGGGAGGGAAAGTGAGAAACCACCCCAGGGGCGTGGCCATGACACCGTTTCTTCTCTTCTGGGCTCCCTGCGGGAGTCTGGGTGCACCCAACATGAATTTTAAGCTGCGAGGTCTGGGCCTGGAACTGCACAGTCGGGAATATGGGACCTGGCCATTTACCCTCCATGCTTCTGTTGGCCTGAGAGTCACTTTGGGTCCAGCAGGTGGTGTGGTTAAGATGCTGGACTCCCACGTGGCCATCTCTCTCTCCCTCCTCCCTCTAGTAAGTGTGTATGCCCTATAGAAAATTAAATAATAATTTTAAACGTAGGAATTACCTTTTCCATTCCCTTAGCATTGATGACCTTGTGGTCTCTTACTGCATTATGCTGTGTCCTTGAGAAGTCGAGGTATTGGAAGTGTGACATGATGGAAAGAAGGTGGGCCTCGGACTTCATTTTTTACTCTATCTAGAAACTTGGGGCAAGTCCCTTCATCTCTGTGATACCGCAGTCCCCAGCCTTCACACACCAGGGACTGTGGCCTCATGGAAGACCAATGGAGGGGAGAAGGGGGCAGTGGGTCCTGTGATGACCCGAGTATACCACACCCACCATGCACCCTGTCCCCTCCACTA